TTGTGAGGCAGACTGGTGCCCTGTATTCCAGAGAGTATCTGATCCCCTCTCCCCGCTACCGACTCCAGCAGCTCCTTCTCAGTGAGGCCCTGTTAGCACTTGCTGCTCTGGCTTCATCTACACTGCCTTCGATTGCTCCTTTTTTCTCACAACATTAGCACTTGCTAACATAACGCAAACTTCCTTACTCATTTAGCCTGTTGTTGTCTCTCACCATTAGGAAAGGGGTAAGATAGGCTCATTTCGTTTTGTCTGATTTTGTTCATTGAGATGTCCCCAAACTAGTGCCTGGCACATGGAAGTAGTCACTTGGTAAATTTTTGTTGAATGAGTTTTTGAGCTGTTGAGTAATTCTTTTTTTTTTAGCCAGTCCCCAGCATTAGGATATCAAGATGTTTGAGCATGCTGCCCTCGTCTGGCTTCACCTGCGCTTGGCGAGCAGGAACCAGGGAATGGAATTTAAGAAATCCTTGTTTTGCTCTTTGTACAGGCATGCTAAGGGCAGATAGTTGGGGCGTTTGGTTTTTCCTCGGAGGACATTTTTGGCTTCATTCCTATATCACATATTCTTTCACATCTCACCTGTCCATTTCTTTCCTTCTCTGAGCTTACAAAATGCCTTTTCCTAAAAAAAATCCTGATCTCTTTCTGAAAGGTTGCAAATTATTAGCACATAGACTGATTTTGTTTGGCTTGTTCCGGGTAGTATTGTTTGGTTTGGTTTTGGTTTTATGCAGTGGTTCTTGTTGGAGCTGGCACTGTGATGTAACGATTAAGTAGCTTCGTGTAATGCCAGCATCCCAGCCAGTTTGCAACGACTTCCAGTCCAGCTCCCTGCAGATGGCCCAGGAAAGCGAAAGATGATCCAGATGTTTGGGGCCCTGTCACCCAAGTGGAAGGCCCAGATGAACCTCCTAATTCCTGATTGCCAACATCTGTATTTGTTTGCTTCAGATAGAAGTCTGGATGCTTTACCTTCTTTTGAAAAATTGGAAGTCTTGGCAGCTTGCCACCCACATTCTCACCTGGTAGCCAGCTGCTGGACTTGGGTAGCTGCTGCCATCCCCTTGACAGCAGCCCTCAGTGTCTTGTTTGACAGTTTAACCTTTTCATTTATCATATCTGTATAGTCCCTTATAGGGTTGTGACTTGATAGCCCCTTTTAAAAACAAGTTTACTTATTTTTTGAAAGGCAGTTTTACAGGGAGAAGGGAAGACAGAGAAAGCTCTTCCATTCACTGGTTCACTCCCCAAATGGCTGCATCTGCCTGAGCTGAACCTATCCCAATACCGGAGCCAGGAGCTTCTTACATGTCTCCCACGTGGGTACAGGGTCCCAAGGACTTGGACCATTCTCTACTGCTTACCCAGGCCATAAACAAAGACACTGGGACACAAATTGGTACCATGTGGGAGGCTGGCACTTGCAGGTAGAGGATTAGCCTCTTGAGCCACTGCACCAGCCCCTATAACTCCTTCTTTACCAGAATACTTTCAGGAAAATTTGAGCCACACATTTTAGAGACCGAATTTTCTCGTAGCTGAGGAAACTTCTAATAGCTTGTTGAATGACTTGGAGCAGCTGATGTTGGCAATTTTAAGAGCAAAAGACCTGAAAAATATTTCCACTATTTACAGATGTGTTCATTTACTTATATCATTTAGTATGTCTTCATCTTTTTGTCTCTGTGTCTATAGCTGCTGCCAATTCTTACAATGCTCATATATAATACACACTTTATGCTGAAATATCAGACAAGAGTGATATCTGGCACCTGATTGGAAGGTGAATTAAGCAGAGGATTGGAGTCCTGGACACATGGGTGTGGGGAGGGAAGCAATGATGAATTGGCAGAAAGCAGCAATTACAATCACCTAATACAATGTCTGCCACAGTTGGTGTCCTGAAAGCATTTGAGAGTCTGGAAGAAAACAGAAGTAAGTGTGAGATGAGAGTCAAGGATTTGAAACCTGAAAATTTTAAGTTTGTATACTAACAGACTTTACAACTTGAGGTTTTAAAGACTCCCAGTGGTTGTTCAACTGAAAATAATCTATTCATGAAACTTCGCATCATTGTTGTCATGGTGACAGCTGTTTGTCGGCTAGGGGAACTGGGTAAGACTGTGGAGTGAAGCAGGTTCCTGCCTTCCAGCACAGCACCTTAGCCTTTTCCCGTGAGACAGTGGCACAGCTCACAGTCTGACCTGGTGCTTTCTGTGACTTTGTTTACATTCCTCCAAATATGAGGTGTCGGAGGGAGGGATGAGATTTTTTTTATTAAAAAAAAAACAATGAGAAACAGTCTGACTCAGAGATTTGGGTGAGTGCATGGGTGAAGGCTCAGGCCTGACTATTGCTTTTGTGCTGAAATACCAAAAGATCTTGTTAAATATAGTGGTCCACTTCACACCAAGCTAGGAGCAAGGAGACTTTGCTGGGACTTACGGAAAGCAGGTGTCATTTATATTAACTGTCCAGAGAAAAATCAAATGTGTCCTAATCCAAGGAGCCACATCCTGACTTTGTATGCTGTGGTACCCACAACAGCAGATGGATTCCACGTTTTCCCCTGGAGGCACACAGTGGTTTGTGCTAAAGTCAAAATGTTCTAAAACAGTCTGCAGATCTAATTGTTTAAATCACACCTGTCAAATTTGAGGGAAACCTTATCTTAAGAAACAAGCTTACTCTATATATAATTAATACATATACCCTGTTTTCTTTTAAGGCCTGATTTCCTTTGCCTGCTAGCATGTGTTATGTATCTATAATAAGTATCTTTATTTTTTTTAAAGATTGTTTTTCTGGATCTGGCATGGTACCCTAGTGACTGAAGTCCTCGCCAGGATCTCATATGGTGGCAGTTCTAATCCCGGCAGCTCCACTTCCCATCCAGCTCCCTGCTTGTGGCCTGGGAAAGTAGTCGAGGAGGACCCAAAGCCTTGGGACCCTGCACCCACATGGGAGATCTGGGAGGAAGCTCCTGGCTCCTGGCTTCAGATTGGCTAAGCTCCAGCCATTGCAGCCACTTGGGGAGTGAACCAATGGATGAAAGATCTTTCTCTCTGTCTCTCCTTCTCTCTGTAAATCTTTCTGATTTAAAAAAAAAAATCTTAAAAATTAAAAAAGAAAGATGAGTTGTTTTTCTAATTTAGCAGGTAGCAGTGAAAACTGATATCTTGTTTTTATGGACCTGAGCGAATAGCACATGGGTGCTGGAAATGGTTTCCAGTGTGCTATCTGAAGATACCATCATATCTCAGAAGGCTTTGTGGCTCCTTTTTGTGTCTAACTTTTAGGAAATAGCGTGATCCATTACGTATTTTTATTGATGACATCTTACTAGAGGCCCTTTCGTTTTATAGACACCTGAAAAGAAAATAGGCAATAGTATACAGTGTGTGACTGAGGCAGGCACTCTAACCCAGCATTTATTGGTGTATCAGAATCACTTTAAAAACTTAACTATGGAGTTAGGGAAAGAAAGAGGAAGACAGATTTTGTTGACCTAAGGTGAGACCCAAGATTTTTCCTTAAGGTTTCTTAAGTGTCAGGGTTAAGACTCAGGAACCATCCTGTAGGTTCTCAAGTTGCCCCAGGGTACTTGTGAGTGCCTGAGGCTCCAGTAAGAGAAAGGAACTCTGTTCTTCCTGTCCCCTCTCCTAGCTTAGCAGCTCTGCTTCTGTCTCTCATTATCGGACTTCTAAGCGGAACAAAACCTTTCTTCACTGTGGCTCTAATGCATAGGTCTTATGCGAGAATAGCAGGAAGGGTTTTAAATCTGAGTTTTGAGGCTGGTGAGCACTGAATCCTTTCAGAAGAGTTTCTGTCATACCTTGGAGTAATGTGGAAAACGCACAAGAAACCTGATAGTTACAGATTCTGTAACGATATTTGGTGAGCTGGCCTTCATTCCAAATGAGAAGAAGCCAGGTCAGGAAAGGAAGTAGACTTTTCCAGGAAGGATGGCAAGCTGGCACCTGAAAGTCTCTGTAAGGCTTTGTTTGGGCCCACAAGCTTTTTTTTTTTTTTTTTTTTTAATTTTGACCTAATTTTCCAATTTATCCAGGTCTCCATCATTCTACATTTATTGCTGATTTACTCATTTTCCTGCCCTAGAGTTCTGGCCCCTGTAAGCCTTGGTGCGTATTGATTCTAGAAAGCAGTTTGCTCCTTGCAGATTTCTTTTGATCCTTTTAAAAATTGCCTGTATTTGTCTACTTCTCCAGAAGAATGTTGAAGTGATAGATATTGAGTACTTCCTGTAAAAGTTATCTTTCCCCTCTTCAAGGAAAAAAAAGTTCAGCTGTTATCTGAGGCAATATTTGATAGTGGAGCTTCCTAGGCATTCATGTAAATACTGTGCAAGTAGTAAATCTTATTTTCAGAAAGCTAAAATGGTTTCTTGATAACCTAGATTTCATTCCTTTTTAAATCTAGATCAGATCTAAATAAAGTTATCTTCTGCTTTATCTTTTATTATTGCCCTCTGTGGTTTCACTAATGGACTAATTTCCTGAGATTATAAATTGGCATGCTTTCATTTCCAGATTGCAGCCTCTGTCTTCATTTTTCCAGAGATTTTTTCGACCTATTTACTTTATGTTGTATCACAAAAAATGGATTTCCTTAATTCACCTTATCAAAAATCAGTTGTCCCGTTATGACTAAGGAGTAAACTTTGCATCCAAAGATATTTATCCAACGGCACCAAGCTTTGTATTTTTCAAAAGCAATCAGGCTTTTTTTTTAAGTTGGCAAGTCAATTTTAGTGTTTTTTGAAAAATAACTAGCCCATTTTCCAAAGCAAATTAACAGAAAAAAAAATCCATTTAAAAATAATCCCTACAGAGTGCTATACCATAAAATAACATTAGAAACTGCCAATTTTTTGGCTAGTATACTCTTTCTTATAATAACTCAAAACTTGGACCAGAGAAATATAGAAAGAGCATAAAATTTAAAACATACAGCATAACTTTTTTTTCTTTTTGTAGCATTAATCTTATCACTGGTCATTTAGAGGAACCAATGCCAAACCCCATAGATGAAATGACAGAAGAACAAAAAGAATATGAAGCCATGAAACTTGTCAACATGCTTGATAAACTTTCCAGGTATTGTATTCCCATCCATTTTTTGCTTGGTTTCTAAAAATGTTCTATTTCTTTGTCTCTCTCACTGAGAGTTCCCATAGAACAGCAACTCTGGAAATCCATGTTGATTGCAGCAGGGTGGCCCAGGCAGCAACAGTTCCGATACTTCTTGGCTACCATGGTTTTTCTACATGTGCCGCTTCTGGATGTGCTTTCTTCAACATTTAAACTCTTCAGGCTACGCTAGTAACCACCAGGTCACTGTAATATTTAACCAACTAACCGCCCTATCTTCAAAAAGATGCTGTGAGTTAGATTCAGTGATTTTGCTGCTGCTTCTATTTTTGTTTTATTCTGTTTTGGTTTTGTTCCAAGTCGAAATGCTTCCCCCTACACATACCCCATTTTTGATGTATAAGTTTGCAATTCTGCCTTTTTGGGTTGCTGCTGAAACCAAGAATTCTAAAATGTCACGCACCCAGCAGGAAAAGGTAAAAAGAAATAGTTCAATTTTTTTTTAAAAAACAGACAGTTTTCTTAAGGGTTCAAAAATCAGTTTCCCCTCTTCCTTTTGCTTCCCCTCCAAAAGTAACCAAATTTGAAAAGAATTAAATCACGTGTATGCAAATTAGTAACTAGTCATCTTGAAGGAGTTATTAGAACATAACTCCTTTCATACTTGGCTGAATTGCTCTGTTTTCCAGTCATACGTTGAGTCACTGTCTCCTTTAAGCCATCTGGAGTGAGTGCTGTGTGTTCGTGGCAGCTGCCACTTCAAGGTGAAGTTCTTTTGGTCATCTGCTTTTTCCTAATAACTATATAGGTTAGTATGCCTCAGTCAAGAGAAGTAGCAACTGGAATGGGAAAGCCAGAAGGACAACCATGAAAAGAAGGGTGTAACAGAGAAACCAGTAGAGCATTAGGTCAGACTTAGCATGAAAATGGACAAGAACAGGAGGCTGACAGAGCGTGACAAGTGTAGGTATTCTGACACTCTGCAGTCTCAACTTTTTTTTTTCAAATTATGCTTGTAGCTTCATTTACCTGCAAAGTATGACTAGAATTCAGTAATTGCCTACTGGCCCTTTTAAATTTCCATCCTTTCTCAAGGTTAGAATTTACAGCTGACTATGCTACAAATCTTCAAAAGACATTGTTGCCTGTTTGCAAATTACCTTCTTCATACCTTTGTATATAACTGACATGTTCCTTCCCTGAAGGGATGGTTGCAAAGGAGATACTGATAGGGCAAATCTGTCTGGCAAAGTAACAATTTCTAAACGTGTGTGTACATACAGAAGATACCTGTGTGCTTGTCTATTTCCACAAGGATCTGGAGTAGCTGCAGGGGGAAGTGGTAGCAAGGACCTGAATATACAGCACACTAGAGGGTTAGGAAAGTAGACCATCCTTGTACCAGTAATATGAGTTTAATGGTTAACAACAACGCCATTCAGTATCCTGTCTACCCTCGTTGGACCTAGAAAAGAGCAGATGAGGGAAGGAACTACCTAAGACAATGCAATGTAATTTAGGTACTTCGCTTACTGGGAGAGACACCAGTATTTCATAAGGCCTCCCTCTCACCAGGCACAGAGACCAAAGGTGCTAGGTCCTTCTCCTTTTAATCTCAGGGGAATCCACATATCCTAGAAGCTGCCAACAAATCATTACACAAACGTCAAGTGTGAGACGCCCAAGCTTCCACCTGACTTAGACTGTGCTTCCACGGAGATGCACACTCACCCGGAAACACCCAGCAGATGTCCATCTCAATCTGAAGGTGATGCTGATTTTTGCATGTATAAAGGAGAGCAAATGTGTCTTGTGTTGGCTTTGATGGTACCAATTTTGCCATTAAAGTTGAAGCAGAAGGCATCCTTGAGAATAGTCCTAAATCATGTAAACTTCTTGCTTGATGTGTGGTGGAATTTTTTTACATTACTTGCCTTTGTGTGCTTTCTAACATTTGTTCTAATACCAATGACAATCTGTATGAAGACTAGCAGTGATTCCAAAAAAGGAATGCAAAGAATGAAACCATTCTTTATGCATCTTCCATGTTTGTTGTGCTGTCCTTGTTAGTCTTCCGTTTCTTCTCTTTTCTTTTATCCCTGAGGTTTCAACAAAATATATATGCTGTGAAGTCAAAGCAGACTCAATTCAGTACAGTTCAGAGTGTTCACTAAGCTGTGCCCTGTGCTGGGAAGCCCCCGGGAGACTGGGGGGTGCAGGACAGTCTCTGCCTTTAGAAAGCTCATGATCCAGTGAAGGGAATTGCTCTAACCTCTTCTGGAATACAAGGTAAAAGAAAATAAGGACAAAATGAGATCTATGGTTAAACAGTAAGCACCCAGGAAAAAGAACAGTCCATTCTGCTGGATGACTCAGTTTTACAGGCTAGATCAGCATTAATGCTGATCCTAAAATTTAAGAGTTATTTAATAGGAAAATGAAAAAAAAGATGACCATTCACTCCAGGGAGAGGAGTATTTAAGAATCTTGTTAATAAGTCTTTGGTATTCATATTTTCATCTTTCCAAAGGGCTCAGGTTATTTTATCACATTTTATTAACATAACATATTAGCAGATTTTATTATTGGGAAACAGGGGCCAAAGAATTATCCAAAATATTTCCAAGTTATTGACTGATGATAATCATTTCCTATTAGCAGTTTGCAAAACATTTTGATATACATTTTCTTCCTAGTTTCCTAATAAATTGCTTAGTAATTTCCTTTCCCAGAACTCAGATCTTTGCTCTGTCCTCTGTGCTACTGTGTCTGTCTGTCACAGTGTTTACCAGACACTTCCTAATCATTCCCTCAGCTGTCACTCTAGAATGTTCTGCATTCAACCAAGTCTTCTTTGTGGTAAAAGTGTACTGTAGTTTTGTCTGAGTAATTTTCCTTCTTAAAAATAAAATCATCTTCTTCTCCTGAGTTAAAAGGCGTGTGAGTAAAAAGGATAGATTGGAGGTGGCGTGGCCAACGAATGGACACTAGACACTTCCTTTTTTCCATCCATAGGAGAGCAGATGTGAAGGAGCTGCACCAGGATGGTGGTTAGCAACAGTGGCCCGTGCCAAAGCACTTACCAAAGTGATGACTAAGGTTGGTCATGCCAAGTACTGTTACTGAGCCTGGTGTAGGACATAGATGTGACTCACTTTCTAAAACTCACTGTAAGACCACCAATGTGAAAATCAAAATTTGATTTCCACTTTGCCTCTATGCTAGACATGACTGCAGCCTCAGGGAAATCAGCACCCTAACAGCTTTGTTTCACCTAAATGTGCAAAGACAGTAGAGAGATTAATAATTAGATACTTTCTTATTGAATGCCAGTTGGCCTAGTGGTATGCCAAGCAGTTTTTCTTTAGCATTACTACAAGGATTCTATTTGTGATGTGTGTAGATAAGGGCATTGGCAGTGTACCAGAAGGTCTTAAGCATTTGAGAATAATCTGAACTCAATAAATCCCATCATGTTTAGCTAGTACAGTGCCTTGTACCCCATGGTTTCCCTGTGTGTGATAATGACACAGCTGATCCCAAGATTGGAATGTCAGTTTTATTGCTATATTAAAATAGCCTACATAGGTTAAGATTTTAAAGCACACTTTGTCGGTTACATGTTCAAGGCTGAAAAGAAATTGTACTAAAATATTTTGGGTCGTGACTCGCTACCAAATATCTAGATATTATAGCTATTCTGTATTAAAGGGATTATATATATAATAACCACTAAGGCCTGAGGCATGAGATTACAGAAACCTTCATTTGGCATTTTTAATGTGGGAGGAGAGGTGAAAAGTGGTAAAATCAACCCAATTTCCCACCTCCTCTTTCCTTCTCTGACGCGGGAAAAAAAAATAAGCCCCTACAACTCCTGCAGGAGATTAGAGTGGGAATTGTGTTGGGGTAAGCAAGTCCAGTGTGGCTAATGCAATCGCCTTTGCCTTGACTACAGCACAGTACTCATAAGAAGGGTGCCCCCTCCAGGAACAGGCAGAGAGCGTTGACTGGCTTAAGTTTAAACTAACCAAAGGAAATAATATTTCAGGTTACAGTTTTGTTTTGACTGCTCTAATCCCCTTTAGTTCCTTAATTGGAACCAGAATTGATTAATCCTCTACTCAGTCCTTACCCTATTACTGTTTAACAAGGTGCATTGCCTTTTTGCTTCTGTTGCCTACCATCAGAATCTGTTTTTAAAACTTACGTTTATATAACTAATTATTCTACATGTCTTCCTTAGCTGATGATTGATTTTGCTGGTCATTATGTGTACCATTTGGAACATAGCTTTCTTAATAAATACAGGCACCAAATATAGGAATAATCCCCTTTAACACAAAATTTATTTTTAAACTCACTAAAACAGAAGTTTTATGACTGAAAAGAAATACTTAGTTATTTTACTCTCCTCAAAAAAAGAAAACAAACAAACCAAACTGTGGTTACCCCTGCCTACATGATGAGATAGTCAAGGAGACGCTTCCAGGTGTAGATCAGCAACATGGCCCAGTCGTTAAAAGAAATCCTTAGTGTGTGGTAACCACCAGACATCTGTGTTGGTTAATTCATATTGGGTTGGGTTATACTCAGATTTTGAAGACTTAGTGCTCCCTGCCTCCCAAAAAAGGTAAAATATCTCATTGTTTGATACAAATTACATACTGAAATAAGATTTTTGTATTAAATAAATTATGAATTTTACCTCTTTCACTGTGGCTATTAAACATTTAATATATAATTTTACTGTGGTTTATGATTATATTCATATTAGACACCTCTGGTCTCTGTCATTAAAATGTACTGTAAGATTGCTTGGAAATTCACTTAAAGAATCTTGGATCCAGGTAGATTAGAACTCTTAAAATGGCCGGAAAAATTAATTGGAGAGTTTTGACATCTGTAGGTTCTGGCAGACTCCTTCCAGTAAGCAGTAGGATGTGCTGCTTTTGTGTTGCCTGTTGCCAGCAGTTGTCATGTAGATCTGTAGTAGCAGTAACTACTCAGAGTTCTCATCTCCAGACTCTTCTACTCATTATCCCCTCCTTTAAGTCTTCCTAGCCGGGAAGAGTACATAAGAACTCCTTTCTACCGCTTTAGTCAGCTGTCAGTTGGCATGTCAACCTCTTGTTTTAATTGTTACTTTGCTAATGTAGGCAGTAGGATATAGCAGTTTTGTGAAGAAAGCAATAAAGAACACCAGCACTTAAGAGTAAAACAATTTTATTCTTCCAGAACTCTAACATCTTTCCCTACAATTTTTTAACCATACTGTTTAATGTGCGGTGGTTAGCAATTTAAGTTTTGCATGCAATCTTAACAGAGATGAGAATAATAAAAATTAATATTTACATAGTGCTTAAGCTTTTAAGCATATTTCCGTGTTATCTCCAGTGATAAACTTGTCCTGTGGGTTAAATAGGGAAAGAGATATTATTGAGTTAGGAATAAATGCTCCAAAGATTGCATGCCTGATCTTAGGTCCATGGTTTGGTTAAAAACTGCTCCAAACCTTATCCTGTTTTGAAAAGTTAGAAACTATACTGAAGGTTGTCAGTGAAAATAATGTAAATAAGACTTAATAATTTAAAGAGAATTAAGACAGCACATAAAATTGGAACAATACAAAGAAAGTTAGCATGACCCCAGCACAAGACAAATTTGTGAAACGTTCCATATTTAACAACAAGAAAGAAAGAGTTAAGATTCAGAGGATACACATGCCTGCTTTCTCATTCCATAGTTCAGCTCTTCTTGCATATCAGGTTAAATGCTAAATAACATATTGAAAACAAAACAACAAAAAAACCAGCCAGCTTTATGGGGGAAATAATAAGCTTTCCAATATTATATTGTTTTTACTTAATTGTTTTAAGGATAAATGTGGACATTCTAAGAATTTCTTGTACATATCACAGTATTAAAACCTAACTTTGAAAAGACTTCCCGAAGTGGGAGGACATGGGGATATGGCATACCCACCTGTCTTGGGAATGAGTGTTTTATGCTGCACATTTTACTTTTCCCCTTGTATCCATCACCAAATAGGAGGACTGAGCATAGGATCTCAAAAATCATTTTAAAAGATGCAGCCTACCGACTATGAGTTTACTGTGGAAAACCACCAGACGTGTCCATTCTACTGGGTTAGAGATCAGTGACACTGTTGCACCAGGAAGCCATAAATCCCGAAGTATCTCACAGTCTGAGCATGTCAACTAGCCACAAAGCTGATATTATTTCTGTGGGAAAAATGGGTTTAAAACATGATATCACAGGTTATCCAAAAATCCACTGCACTCAGTGTATTATAACAGTTCTAGTAATATTAAACAGTGAAAAAGATGTGCTCCCAAACTTGGAATTCCAGCCAAAGCTACACAAAGGCCTCCGCCTCAAGGCTATCACAGGTCCATTCTAATAGGCATTCTGGAAAAACTGTTAATTAAAATACCTTATTTCTATACTTATTTCTCTTCACATCTTTCCAATGTGAAAAACAATTAAATATGAAATGACTAATATAAAATGTCAGGGTTCTTTGTTCCAAGCCAACCTTACATTAAGAGCAGGAATCCCAGAGCCAAAGAAATGGTTCCCAATTATCCTATCTTGGGTTTTGTTATACATTGTACGGAAGTCAACAAAACAAGTATGTAACAGAACCTGTCTAAATAGCAGCCACCCTCATTAAAAACAGAGAATTAATCAGGGGGTGATTGAAAGAAGCAATGCCTCATAGACACCCACCATTCTTCTTTTCTAATCATAGAACAAAATGTTACATAAAAGGATCAGAACTATTATGCAGTGCTCAATTAGAGGGAGGTGAATAGGTCTCTAACGTGCTGTTTTATGGAAAGAGCAGAGTGGTGTTTGCATGACTGTTGTTTCATTACAGACCCCGTCATTAATTCCATGTGTCAATACTGCCCTGTAGTACACAGAGCAGACAAGAAAGAAGAGCCCTTGAAAACAAGGGAATGATTTTTGAGTCGTTATCAAGCTAAGTGGCAAGCGGGAAGCTGAATCTCGTATAGGTAAATTCGAAGGGACTCTTGGGAGATCTGCAAGTGGGAAACAAGAATGCATTTTGCCAACTGCTTAATTATGTCCTGGTTTTCAACAAGTACACTTGAACTGAATGCTTTGTTTGTATTGCACAAAAACATGTGCTGTGAGCAAGAGTATTCTCTTGCTTCCAGGTCAAGTAAGGTGTTTTATACACATGCACATCTGACCTAGTCTAGAATCTGGTGCGACCGGGTATGTTAGTGTTTAGCCCCAATGTCGCACTGTCATTTATGGGAAAAATAATCACACAGGAACCAGAAGCCTTAAAAAAATAAAAAGTAAAGGACCCATGTAATGTTTGGGAAAGCATATAAGCCCATCACTCCAGTACAGGACTTACAGGGAAATGGTGGTTCAGGAGAACATTTTCAGATATTTGGGGGGAAAATTAAATATGGTATAAACCCATCACCTCCCACTTAGATCTTTAAGGAAGGTTTTTGTTTCGGTTTCCATCAACAGTCACAAGAGTTAGGCTGGGGCAAAACAGGGTTTCCTTCCTTGGACATGCTTTATCTGTCTCCTCTTGCCTGGCCAAGCCCTTAGAGATTATGGTTCCTTATCATTTAGTAAGATCAAATTTCTAAATGATGTTTCGTTCCAGTTGAACATTCTTGGAGGCTTATCTCTTCCCTGGCCAGATGCCTGATCAGATGAGAAGCCCGCCATGATACTGTCACAGTGCCTAGAATGGGCTCTTTATCCAGTAGACATCACTGTACTTTTTGATGATAACAAGGGCGTCTTAACTTGTGTTAAGGCCCGTATATAGCATTGAAGGTAAGTATGAAGGAGTTGTTGCTATGAATACCTTAGTCCTGATACACATTTTAATACATAGTATCTCCATTTTCTATGACATACACGTACACTTAGCCAGCCTTCTTAGGTAGGACCTTCATGACGTAGGACCAGCAGTCCCTCGTGAAGTGATCTGAGTACTGGAAGCCGTGATTGGATTTGGACCCTTCTTTGTAAGACTTGCCATTGCTTTGTATTTTCACCCCATAATCATTCTAGTCATTTGCTGGTAGATTTGCAGACAGGGTTTGTGTTCTTGGTACATGTAAGCGACAAGTAGGCAGGGTGCTTTGTCTGACTATTAGGGTTAGAATATCTTGATTAAAAGCAAAGGTTTAGCAGTAAGTTTGAGCATCTTTTAAAAATTAGCTTTTAAGAGATTAAAACTAGCTAGTAGCATAACACGTAGACTCTTAAAATTCACTTAGAATAGTGGGGATCATCTTGTCCAACCTCTCATTTTATAAGTGAAAAGACTGAAGCCCAGTGAGGCAACTGACTTGCCCAAGGACACATAGTAAGTTAATCAAAGGTACAAAACTGCAACCTGTGCCTCTCCAGGTTCCAAATACAAGAAGTCAAGTCCACACCAATTAGTGGTTGGGAATTCTACCTTGTATGGTTAGAAGGGGGGCTAACGTGCTGCAGCATCAGAGTATCTGATGCCATTGCCTCATCAGGGTTAAACCAACAGGGAGGGATTCCTGCCAGTGGATTTGTATCATTCTCCGTGTATGCCATTGCCCATGTTTGATATTATTCCAGTAAATGTTTACTGAGCACCTACTGTGTGCTCTTAAAAGCCATACCAGATACTGACAGATCACAGCCAGAGAAGACATGGACTCTGCCCTCAAGTTGCTCATAGTCTAAACACATGAAGAAATCCCCAGAAAGCATGATGCAGAATAGCCTATGGAATGTCAGCATGTTTCCTAATTCTAAATCTTGATGATTAAGTGAATCTTTTATCCAAAGATTTAGTTTTTCCAGTCTGGTAATTAAAAAGGATACCAAAAGGCTCCCTGTTCTGTCTGAAAATGTGAGGTAATAACAAATGAAAATTTAAAAATTGGTTTAAGGTATTTGTTGAGGATCTCCTGCCTGCAAGGCACTGTGCTAGACACATAGGGATATGAAAATTCAATGACAGAAGGATCGAGAATATTTTGGGTTTCATAGTTTTCAAAGTTTGTAATCACAGCTACTTTAAATAAATATTCTTAAGCATGGGGGGGCTCATAAAGACAAAATTAGCTCTGTACTGAAATGCAGACTTGTTAGCCTTGGATTCAGGGTCTCTATTCAGATCGTCTTATGCATTCCATCTCTTGAGCTTTCTTTTTCCTTTACCCCAGCTGAGCCAGCCTGCGCCAGCCTGCGTGCCAGTCCCTGCACACAGCTAACTCTTGCTTCTGCTTGACTAATTCTGCAGCTGAGACACTTTTCTCCCCGTGATTCTGTCAGACACTGCAATTACAGTTTAGCCCCAAGACCACCTCCCTCAAGGAGCCTGTGGTCAGCATCCTGTCCCCTGAGTCCTGCCCCATGTGCTTACCCACGCCTGGTGAGGGAACATGGTCTGTGGTGTTCAGCAGGTGCCCACTCTGTCCCAGTCTTGCTGATTAGACAGGGATGAAACAGTCTAGTACAACCAGATCATTTACCAAGCCTTGTAAGAATAGTCTCCATATCAAAGAGTTATCAGAGATTTAACCTTTGTATTTGTGAGCTGTAAGTTGGAAGATAGCAAGGAAGATTAGAAAAGGTAGAATAGGAATATGAGAAAGGAGCCTGGGGTCCTTAATGAAGAAGTCACACTTAAAAATGATCGCCTCCTACCACCAGATGGAATAAGAAATCTTTACATTTCAGATAGTCAGAGCATATTGAAGAACTGTCAGGCAGGAAAAGCAGGGCTGTGCCTGTTCATCCTCTCCAGCCTGTTCTGTAATTCTATCAGCATTGTTTAATGTGTGTGTTTTATCTTCTGACTGAAAGCTTCTTGAGGACAGGGACCATGTCTTTAACCTGCTTCGGCATTCTTCCCCCACTTACTAGCAGTGGGAAGCCTGTGAGCGTGAAGAAAGGGGGACTGCAACGTGTGGATTCCAGCTGCACTTTATATTCATTATACTGCACACATTATGCAATCCTAATTTTAAGGAAATTGAAATTCAGGGAGTTCAAGGTCTTAGGATGATAAATTCAGAATTAGAACTTAGGTTTGCCTGATTCCAAAAGTTGGTATGTGCTCTGCACTGTAACACTATGACAAATAACACTTGATGAGTCACACGGTGCTCTTTGTTCTGCATTATTACAATTCCTGTTACCCACAACTAGTTCTATTATGACCCCCAATTCATAAATGGGGATACTGAGACTCAGCTCCATGCCCCGGATCAGATGGCTGCTTAGTGGGGGAGTCAGCACCTCAGCCAGCTGTGCTCACTCCAGCTCTTGCAGCTCTTTCTACATCACATTGCTGCCCTAATTCATTTGCACATGTGCATAAATATAGGCCAGTTTCCACAAATGCCTTTCCTACAGAAAGTTATAAAGTGTTATAAAGGAGTTTCCATTTTAAGGAGATGAGAAGTTGGGAGGAAGGTGATACAAAGCACCAAATAAGTGGATGGATGGATGGATGGATGGATGGATGGATGGATGGGTGGATGGATGGATGGGTGGGTGGATGGATGGATGGATGGATGGATAGATAGATAGATAGATAGATAGATAGATAGATAGATAGATAGATAGATAGATAGATAGGAGACTGATTGAATCATAAGAAAGGTTGACAAAACGAAATTAGAATGTTGAGACCCTTCTGTAAAAAATTCCTACAAGTTGGCCATAAAGTTAATGTGCATTTTAATTTCCACTATAAAATTGGATTCAAGTGTTGCATGAAAGGAGGGAAGGCTAGCACTCCTCTTGACAAGGATGGGAGAGGCCCTTGGGCCTGACAACACAAGTATGGCTAAAATTGGATCAGAGCAAAGGGGTGAAATTGATAAGACTTCATTTAATTGGCGAATACGCCCACTTGTTGGTAGGTAACCCCAGTACTGTGCTGTTCTCAGGCACACATACTAGTGTTCATCTCCCTTAAGGACAGTGGTTTGTCTACCACCTGACTGCATCACTGTCCTTGGTAAGATGCCTGCAGTCCCATCTGCTGATGGTCCTTCTGTCTCTTGCCCTTGAGTTCCTATCCCTCCTCATGGCGCCCTCAATTCAATGTTTCAGCCTCTGAACTTTCTTACCCTCGGTGGTCCATCTGCAGCAGCAGCAGTGTGTCCCCTCCTCCTTTTGTATCAGTTTCCAGCAGCACAAATCCTTCAGCATAGGCAAAGCTAGGAAAATGTATATTTTAAAATGTGGCTGAAGCGTGTTTGTGTATGTAGTAAAGAGACATTTTAATGAAAGTAGATGGTTTCTAGCTTTCCACTGAACAACACTTCTGCTAGTTGCCATGCAAGCTCCTTCAGTTGTTTATGTCCTGAAAGATACAGCATCACCTCACCAGGCCTGCTCCATCTCCTGTATTCTGGCTCTCCTGAATTGTGCCATACCCACATGGTCAAGCAGACGTAGCCACAGAAACACCGTCCTATTCACTCATCTCTGCCAGGCCTTGCTCTTCCAGTGGGTCATGGCGTCTACCGTCTCTTCCTGTAACCCCGGCCTTAATCCAGCTGACTCCTTTCCCACACACCATTACAGACTTCCTAGTGACTTTCAGCCTCCTGTCCCAGTGGCTAGCACACCCGTGCCTGAGGTACAAGCTTCTGAAACAACTCTGACCGAGGCTCTTCCTAGAGTGGAATCTAAGTGCCTTGCTTTTGCATTTAAGACACCTGACTATTGAATCTCAATTCATCCTTGCAGAGTTGCCTCCTGCCACCCCTTCATTGAACCTCTTCGTTCTCCAAATAGTGGACCCTTTCCCAGCTTCATGACCAAAGTGATAGGAAAGAAACTGACCATCAAGAAGGGTCTACAGAATCACACAGGTCATTTGGACCCTCATGGCTCCTCAGTCTCCTTTGCCCCAAATGCGCTCTGTCCTCTCACCTGGTTGGTGCTGTTTGTCCCTGCCTTCCCCAGGCAGCAGGATGGGTGCGCCACTACAGGAGATGCCACAGGCTGTTGTTCATAGTTCATGCATCTGCTCCATTGTGGTCTAAGTTTTCTTTTGTTTTGTTTGTTTTGTTTTCGTGCATTTGTTTTGCCCACTCCTCAAGGAAGCAGCTGTACCTAGTGCTATTTTCCTTCCTGGTACATGACACAGCTCAAAGTTGAACCCAGGATGTGCAGCTCCAGTGTAGTCAGGGCTGTGAACCTGGATGTGGTGTTTCAGAGATGCCGGGATCAGGGGAGACCCATGCCCAGGCCCAGCTCTCTCAAAGCTAAGTGACCTTGGGCAAGTCACTGAAGTCTCATTAAAGAAGGGGTTGGACTAAATGATCTCCAAGGCCCCTACCTACTTGAAATTCCGTGATTTTGACCTCATTTCTTAGATAATGAAACATGTTTTCTACTTCAGAACACTGAGGAGCCTCAATACTTATTCAGCCACTCACTCACAGCAGGTGTCTGGAGATGGCCGGAGCTGCTTGCTTAGGCTCCTGTTGGTTTAGCGTGTAACTGTGCCACACACAGTTGCTCTAGGTCTGTAACACTGCGTGTGGCTGGCTGCCTCTTCTAGGAAGGAGCCCTTCCTTGTGCTGACCTAAGGGACAACAGCAAGGAGGGAGAGGGAGAAATTCAGTATTTCCATCTAGTCTAAATCCCACCACCATTACAGCTGTTGTCATATGGTTTCTTGATTAGAGGCCTACTGGCAGGGGGTGGTGCCTGTTTCTGTGAGAAGTCTTAAGCAGCTCCTGGGTCTCTTCAAGGCCACTGTTAAGTACACTGCTCACCGTTTGGGAGGGGAGGAGGACTGAAGTTAGCAACTCAACCGGTACCTTTGCCATAATCTCCATGTAATAAATAAGAACCTACGAAAAGATTAAATCTTTCCTAATACTTTTTGATTGGCTTAATCAATAGTTGATCATCTTTAGATGAGGTTGTAACTTGCAGAGTAGATATAATTGGATTAGCTGAAAAGGTAGCTGGGCAGCTTTGAAGAGATTAAAATGGCTGTCAATCCCATAATTAAACTGCCACAAACAAAAGCAATGGTATAAAAAAAAGAGGACAGAAAAAGCGTGAGAGGAGGAAAGAAAAGCTGGAGAAGGCCAGCTGACCAACAAGGACTTACGTGTCACTGCAGATTGAGGAGGCGGAATCCCCTGTGCCAGGCTCACTCCACTCCACGGAGTGTCTGCATGTCCATGTGACTGCCTCACCCACTGGGATAGGTGACGTTCTGGCTGCTTCAGCTTCACTAAAACTGAACCCACAAAAAGCAGGGGGTCACTCATTATTCAATACAGAAGAGCCTGCCCCTTGTCCTGAGCCCATATAGACCTTGACTTGCCTTACTCTGAATTGGCTTCATAGGTTCGGCTTGTGTGAATGAAGTCTTTTATCTCCTCTTTGTCTTTCCATGCCCCTTTCATCTTTCCTATTACAAACACACAGAGAGCCTGAGGGGGAAATACTGTGGCTTTTAAAGATGTTTCTTTTAACAAGAATGTGGATTTGGGTGGGGGAGGGGTGTGTATGATGCTGGTGAATACTTTTTTTTCTCTCTCTTTTATCTCTTTCTCTAGAGAGGAGTTGCTTAAACCAATGGGACTGAAGCCTGATGGGACGATAACGCCTCTGGAGGAAGCACTCAGCCAGTACTCCGTCATCGAAGAGACCAGCTCGGACACAGACTGAAAGCGTCACCTGCTCAACTCTCAATATTGCTTTTATCAGCATCTTTTCTCTGTAGCTCCAGGGGAATCTTTTCTCTAAAACATGTATGCCCTTGCTTTGGCTAGAAACACATTACCTGGTTACTCATTGAGAATCCAGCATATTTAAGAGGTGATCCTGTGTTTTTTGCGATACCGAGGCATTTGTACAGAGCTGCAGTTAGAGTTCCAGGGGCTAGAAATAAACAAAGATGTAATCCCATTTCATCAGGATGGGACCGAAGGACTTTATTTTGCCAAGCATTCCTGGGTGAGACTTGGCCATTCTGTTTGCCAAGAATCTTAGCGAAGATTAGCGGTGTCCACTTCCCCCTTGGGTGAGCCGCCCCCTCTCGATCCCTCCAGCAGCTGTGAGCGCGCGAGAAGCAGGAGTGGGAAACGAGGGCCAAAGGCCTCCTTAGGTCAGGGCCGGTGAGATGAAGCCAAGGAGCTGCTCTGTAAACTTAGCCCCGCTCTTCATTTCGGTTTTGTATAAATATGTAGAAGTATACACACACACAGGCACAGAACCCCAGACTACAAACTGGTTACAATCTCAGCGTCTGTCACTGAGCTAAGACTTCAGAATACATCCTCTTAAGAGTTATAAATGGTGGCTTAGTTCTCAGGCAGCTACAAATGCCTATTTATTCCCTAATGTACCTGAACACTAGTACCATGGAACTGAACCGCCATCGGTAGCGCTGCCCAGGGAGCAAGCGTTCTGGGGTCCAGGGCAGCGACAGAGACGCATCCTCCTCTCCTGGAGTTGCGGGAGCGCTCGCGTGGCCTCTGCTCCAGGCGGGAGGCAGTGGCACCCATTTGTACATATAGGTCATTCATGGGTCATATGTTTTATACAGGGGACTGTGTGTGTGCACGAGTGTGTATACATTCTACCTTTTTACCATATGATCAGTTTAATGGTAACTTTATTTATTTAAAAAGAAACAAATAGTTACAGTTAAACTGATTGAGACTATTTTTACTTTTAGAATTGGTCCTATGAAGAAGTAGAAACTGCATCATGCACCAGTGGGCCTAGTTGATCAGTGGCTAAAGTTGAAAAGGGGTTGGTTTCCTTTAAATGTATATATGTATGTGTGTGTATGTGTGTGTGAGCATACACATATGTACATACACACACATAGATAATGTGCTTAACCACTGCCTTTTACAACTTTAAATAAAACATTGGGGTTGATTCAATGTAGCCATCTGTGTGTGTTTCTTTGTAAATGTATGGGCTAAACAGTACTGTTTCACAGTTTATATTTCTGAAAAGCGCTTTTACATCCATTATGTCACTTACCGTAATAGCCTTCGTAAGGGTTATACAGCTGTGGAGTATTAGTGAAAATATCTTGTATGCAACAGTTACTCATCTGGCAAAGTAACACATCAGGAATTCCCTTCTCAAAGGCCTTTGAGCTGCCGCAATGATGTCACCGAGTTTCTTACAGTTTCTTCATAGGAGAGCGCCCATCAAGATTATCACTCGGCTTCTGTATTAAATTTGCATTCATTTCTAACATGTTTAGTTATTTGGCTTTCAATCCCACTTAGAGAAGAAGGAAAGAGCTACTATATTGAAGGCAGAAAGGGAAAAAAAGCTGGCTGGAAACACTGGGGGGCGCGCCTCCAGGTATGTGTGTAGTAGTGTGGCCCCAGATGGGTTCTCATCATGACTGGCTTGCTTAGAAGAAAAACTTAAATCCAGAATAAGTTGCAGAAGATTAGGAAGAATACATACATTTTCATCCAAAATAGTTGAGGAAGTTGGAACCACCAAGTGAGATGTAATTTGGGAATTTCCCATTGTAGATTAAATGAAAAAAGTTCAGAAAAAGACATTTAAGTATTTTTGTTATTTCAATCGACAAGTGAATTTTTAGAGTATTTTTGTAATCTCTACATCAGTAGCTTTGGCATGATTGTCAGCTTACCTCAGTGAATGCCATCTTACTGGCGTCACACACAGGAAGTGCTTCAGCAGTCCTGCTTAAGGCGGGTGCTCCTTTTTGAAGAGGGAGAACTGGCAGAGGGCTGCCCTTGCCTTGCACCCTTGGGAGATGCTGGGCCGGGTAGGGCTGTCCATAGCTCGCTTCAAAGGGCCGCCCTGGCAGACACAGGTTCCCCCAAGAGCGCAGCCAGTGACGGCAGGTGGCGTGGCTG